GCACATTGAAAAAGATCCCATCGCTGCTTAATATTTCAAACTGTGAGTCACAAAATTCTTAATATTGCTTTCTTGCCCTATGGAACTTGATGCTTTCCATCTGTGGCATGCCCATTACACAGTAACAACCATCCACCTCCCCCAACCCCCTCTTCAAACGACACTCATCATTGTGTTTAAATTTTGCAAAGCTGCCTTCTAAAAAGCTGTTCAAATATGCATACGGTCTCTGGCCCCATTTCCGGGGGTCCATAATGTGGCTCTTGGCTTTCTCAGTGGAAAACTCAACAAGTTGACTCCCTTTATGAATTTACATCCCCAGGCCATCGGCAGCCCTTTCTGCTGCTTCCTGACAGTGGCTCCTCTCTCCGTCTCCCTCCCTGCAGAGGAAGAAGCTCCAGGCTATGCTGAAAATAGGATAAGATATTCAAATATGTGCATGCGTTCACCTACAAGTTCTTGCGTTTTTCGAGGTCAGCCGAGTCCCGTTTTTTTTTGGGGTTTTTTTTTTTTTTTCGGCTGGTGAATCAGATCAGCCTCGCAAGGTTCTCAGACATCCCTAACAGAAATGTGTGTACACATGCATGTGCCTGTGTGTGTGTGTGTGTGTGTGTGTGTGTGTGCGCGTGCGTGCGTGCGTGTGCATATGAACAGATATGAGCCTCCCCGTGTCACCACCTATGCGAGGCTATGTGCTTTCAGCTCTTCGGGCGACGAGGTGAGACGCCTGGGTGGGTCCAAACATTCTTTTCTCCTCGGATGCTCCCAACAGTCAACAATCCATCGATTTGCGCCGCAGAACAACAGCGAGTCATAAACAAACAGGCGGAAGGAAACACAGGGGACCACGCTGAGAGGCAGAGTGATCTGATGGGGAAAGGTTTTAAGCAGCAATGGAAAGCTTTGGACGCTGACAGCGGGGGGAATGTGTGTTCATGCATGTGTGTGTCTGACCTTTCTGCATTCTTTAAACCTGCGCGCTTGCAGGGCGACGTTCATGTATGTGCAACTAGGTCATGAGTGTTTGCATTTTTCTGTATGACCCCGTATAATTGCTTTGATGCAGCCGCGCTCGTGTGTGTAACTGTGTAACCTATGTGCCTGCTTTGATGTTATGTTCATTAATATCTCTAATGTGTGTGTTTGCCCTTGAGTGCTTATATCTGTCTGTGCGAGTAGGTATGTGGATTACACTGAAGGCTGGACTGAATCAGCTATTTCAAAAAAAAAAAATCAGCATTTTTTCTTTCTTTTTTTTTTGACTCTTCTACAAGAGAGGAGTTGCACATGACCTCTCCTGCTTTCTTTTCCTCCATCACTCCCTCCTCATCCTCCTTCCTCCTCCTCCTCATCCCTCACTGCCTGTTTCTCCATCTTTCCCCTCATCTCTCCCTCCTTCGCTCTGTTTGCAGTTCAAACCAGGACCGCGGCCGTGCTACATTCTTTAGCCATCCAAAGCTAAGATTAGCATACTGATTAGCTAGCCTTGTGGGATCTATCTTCGCCTTCCTCCGAGCTCACATGCACAGCTACAGCCTCATGAATACATAATAGCACCGTCAGCAAACAAATGCATGGCTGAGAGCTTCCAGAGGAGGGAGCTAGTGCACAGACTACAATGCTATTTTTTTTTTCTTTTTTCTTTTTGTAATGTAATCAGAGGGTATTGGAGCATTCTGGTGTGATTAGAGTTTCCAACAGCAGCTTACGGTAGGAGCAGTTAAACTGTTGAGCACTTGTCATCTATCTTGCGAGCGTCTCTCTTTCTCTCTCTGCCCTGTGTTGCCCTCCGCCTCTCGGATTCTTTTCACTTTCTCCTTCCACATTTTCCACTCCCCCCCCCTCCCTGTCTCCCTCTCCGCCATGCCCTCTTTTTCACCCACAGCAGGGTTTCTCTTTATTTATCTCCTCTCTCTACCTCTTTCAGTCTTCCTCCAAATCTCCCTTTCATTTCTCCTCCTCTCACCCCTCTCCTTTCCCTCTCCCTCTTTTCTTATCAACAGCATTAGTGAGGATATCTCGCCGCCGCCTGCCTTCACCTCCGTCGGTGCCTCTTCTTTCTCTCCCTCCCTCCTTCCACCGCGTTTCCCTCTCTATCTCTCTCCTCTTCAATCTTTCCCTCACAGAAGGGCCTGAGTGAGGACGGCAGATCGTGTGAAGTTGGATGTTGATTCTAGGTGACAGGCACCATATGAGTCATAGCCATAATCACAGAGCTCCCCTCAATCCCCCCCCCCACCTTTGGCTGCAACAACACAGCAACACTGTGAAGTTAAAATTGTCCTTGGTACAAACAATGGCTGTACAGTACTCACCATGCATGTAAATTTATACAGCGTGTATGTCTTTTTTATTCTCTTCAACACGTCAGGAAATGGACTCATTCAGACTACTGAAAAGTAGTACATGGATTTTGTCCCTATAAAATGATCATACTAGAAATGAAAAAAACATGCACTGATGGCCAAGGAGGAACATAGTATTCATGAAATCACAATACACTCTTTAGATGATGAGATAAAGCCAAATGTATTAACATGTGAAGAAATACAGTAAAATGTGGAAGAACTACTAAATCAAATTAATTATCAACTATTTTAACATTTTTTTTTTACAAACAATGGAATGATCCAGCTTCTAAAGTGGGAGAATTTAAATTCAATATCTTTGGACGGTTGATTGGACAAAGAAAAATGTCTGATGACGTCACTAGAAAAGTCTTGACTGGCAGGTATTTTTCACAGTTTCTTAGAACAAGAGATGAGAAGACGATGAGAGAGGGGCAGGAAAAAAAACTGCTGAGCCCTCACTCATAATAACATGCAGCAACATGCAGCGATCAGCTCAGCTCAGGCTTTCACCAGTTGAGACCCTAAAATGATGAGACTGTTGAAGAAATGGAAAAGAGAAGAAGAGAATTGCTAAATGGAGATAAAGACTGACCGCAGCTGACCGGAACAACAAAGGACACGAGAACAAAATAGAGGAGAGGGTAAGATAAATATGAAGAAAAAAAGAGGACAAAACAGAAGGACAGCACAGAAGAGGAAGGTCAAACAAAATGGAAATGGATGAGAAGAAACACAAAGCTTAAAGAGAAAGAGAGAGAGAGAGAGAGGGAGCATTGAAATCTTCAGAGCTGCTAGTTCAATTGGCTGAAGATTAATCAGCCAAAAAGACCACAAGACTAAAGACAGAGCTGAAAGGGAAGAACTCGCAGGAAGAAGGCCTTGGGGGTTTACTTTAACAGACAAATATTGGTAGAAACAGAAAAGGAGGAAATGCATGGATTGTGTTATTTTACTTGACCGGTCCTGCAGTTAATACACCCAAGAAGGAAAAAAAAAAAAAAAAAAGAGTGATGTCAGCCTCAGTGATGGAGAAACAGCGTCTCAGACTAAAAGTGCCAAACAACTCTGAGCAGTATGAGGGGGGAGAGGCTATGAAAGAGAAAATACAAGAAATCAAAGAATCACTATTGCTCAGATTATTAAGTTCCAGAGGGGGTGAGGTGCTGGTGAGTAGGAGGTCGAGCTCCTTAGAGGTGGGGGGGGGGGGGGGGGGGGGGGGGGGGGGGGGGGGGGGGGGGTTAAGAGACTGCTGACTGAAACAAACATCCAAGCACCATTGATTGGACACAAGCAGGAGATCAATCAACATGGCCGAAGGCACCATCAAAGAAGAAAAAGACCCCCCCTCCCTCCCTTATCCAAAAGCTTTCACTCCCCCTCCCCATTGATTAACCTGGGGCCTGTGTGATTACAAAGCAAACTCAATCTTCTGTCCATTGTTGACGGAAAGAGAAGGAAAAGAAAGGAGCTGTGTGTGTGTGTGTGTGTGTGGGGGGGGGCAGTGGATGCAATATGGAAAACTCCCGACCATGATCACGTAATGTATCAGTTCATTTCTCTTCAGCACCAGCATTGCTAATGTGCTCAAAGACAAGATGATTATATTAATCATTAGCTCGGCGGCTAATGAAATAGCTCAGTTTTTTTTTTTTTTTAATGGGTTTATCATGGCTGTTGCACATAGCCTGGGTTCTTCACACATAGCAGACTGGAGCACGGTGTGCCAGCTGGATTTCTCCTCATAAGTGACTCAGACGCACTTTGAGACAGAGAAGGGAAGCGAGGGAGAGAAGGTGTGAGGGTGCCAGGGAACAAGAAATGAAAAGACACACTCGGCCAGAGAAGTAGCCTCAGAGAGCGAGGGGGAGAGAGAGAGAGAGAGAGAGAGAGATTGTTTGACCGTGTGTGTGTGTGTGTGTGTGTGTGTGTTTGCATACATTTGCCTAATAAGGTTATCCTCAGGCAGTAGTTGAATTCCTGCCTGGAGTACTGTATGTGCAGCTAAACAGGAATTATTCATGACTAAAACGTCTGTTTTTAAAAAAAAAAATTTATATACAGTTATTTCTCATGAAATCTTTATATATATACTCTATATGTTCCATCCTTCGCAACCAGTGTTAAGTGCAGAGACAATATGACAGAGGCATGACTGTCTGACCTCAGTAAGTCAGTCTGACAGTAACAAAGCCCTCAGGAGAGAGTTGTGTGTGTTCCTGAGAGAGAGAGAGAAAGAATTAAAGGGAGTCACAAGAGATTTAATTAGGCCTCTGGCACACTTAGGTTCATCCTCCTATCCAAAGAAAGTGTTTTCATCAAACAATAACGACACATTTCCCTCTTATCTAAGCCCTCTCTCTGCATAAGTGCCTGCTCATGTCTCTCTCTGAGGGTGTGTATTTCCCAATAACTGTTAAAAAAAAGAAGACAATTGACACGTCGACAACTAGTGCTAGATCAATACGTAAAGAGCGATTGCCAATACCAGTGGCATGATTTTGTTGTCAAAGCATCCCCACATGACACGGTCACCCACTGCGCACGAGCATCTGCGTCCGACGCTTCCAAATGCTGATATGAGTGGCACAAAAAAAAGAAGAAGATGAAGAAGAGGAAAAGAAGAAGAAGAAGAAGAGCGGTCGGACTTACCGCAGTAGAGAACGAGCAGCGCTGTCAGAAGCACCACAGCCCAGAAAGTTGACGACATTCTCGGCCAGCGACTGGCATCTTTGCGCCTTGCCAACCTTGACACTGAAGCCATTGAACGTACGGAGCACTAGTTCCTCTTTGAAGAGACAAATAAAAAGCAAAGGTAGTAACCTCACAATCCAGCTCGGCTTCTTACAGCGCTCATATCTCCGCGTGTAATCCCACAAAAAGACATGTCAAGATCGAGCAACTGATAGAAAAGCAGTGATTTGCTCATTAGGTCTAGTCGGATTGCCGGTGCGCAAAAGAAAAGGTCACATCTTCCTTAGGAATCCCAACTGGGAAATAAAGCACTGTTTTATAGCCTATTCATTCAGAGACATAAGTTGGTAAACGTCCCTTTAGTTGTCCAAAAGTAGTGTTAATCTCTATTTCCGTCCTATATTTCAGTAAAAGCAAGCGCGGTGCGCTGGTGCCTGAAGATTGCGTTGAGTTAATGCTCAAAGTGTTCAATCATCTATACCGCAGCGTCGTAAAACCTCCTTTCACCTGTGGTAGGTTGCCACGATTCTCTCCAGCCCCAGCATCCCCGACGGCACAGCCCAAAGACCGGGCTGAAAAAAACAAACCAGGTCCGGGTAAAATCCGCCTGGATGGATGGATGGATGGATGGATGGATAGATAGAGGGTTGGTCGTGTAAGGAGGAAAAAAAAAGTCCCTTAATCTCACGGTTTGGGCACGAAGTAGATGGAGATCACAGCATGCTTACAGGAGGAAACGGAGGATGGAGGATGGATGTGGAGAGACAGAGAGACTGTGGGAGAAAGGAGCGAGAGGAAAAGTGCGCACTGTGCGACTCCAAGTGATTTTGTCCAAAGTGAAACATTCAGATAATCGATATTACGTCAGCAATAAGCCACTTGAGGTCGCGGTTTACAGTGCTATCACAACAGCTTGATGCTGTTACAGCCAAAGAAATCATTTTACGTCATAAAATCAGTATGAATCACGGCTTACAGCGTTTTCATTGATTTTATATATTGGTTTATGTTTGGTTGATTTTTGAATCGATAAATATTGAGTGATAGCTTCCCACCAGCAACATCTCCCTTCAGTAACAGGCACATAATTCATACATACACATAACTGTAATGAGGGATTTTTTTTATGATGAAATTATTTAATTGTGTATTTAAATGTTATCAGTGTGGTTTGAGGGGATGTTTGTCTCCGTTTTCAACAAGTAGAACACAGTGGTGAATGTTTTTAAAGGTGCATGTTTCTCGAAGCTGGACAGTTACACATGCTGTATATGTCTATCCTGTTACAGCCATAATGGAAAGCGCTAAATTCAACTTTAATTGGACTTGCCCTCTTGTTGGTCATGTACCTATTACTGAAACCAATGTATTTATTCATACAACCGATATTTTTACAATAAAAAGCAATCTTATGTTGCTATTTCTGTTGCTGAAAGATTAAAGTTAGTCTGTAAAATGTGTCACTGAGAAACAAACCATATTAAAACTACACTGCAGGACAGTGATGGGATGGAACTTTATTTTTCTACTCCATTATATTTCAAAGGGAAATATTAATGTCACCACCTCTCTTTTATTTACCTTTGTAGATTAAGATTTTAAAAAACTCCTGTTATATACTACTATACTATATGATCTGTACTTTCATTTAAATAAAATATATTTTGAATGCAGGATTTTTACTTGTAGTGGAGTATTTTTACATTGTAATACTGCTCATTGTACTTCAGCAAATATCTGAATACTTCTTCCTTCACAATAGAGTGTCGGTCCGCAGACTCCCACTGGCTATCAGCCCAAGCCACAGCGCAGTGGAGCGCAGGAGCTTCAGTACCACGTACAGCGCCAGTAACAGCCTTGTAGACGGCATAAGGGAGGTTGGTACCATGGACAGCGCCATGTATTGACGCTCAGCCCCCACGGCCAACACAGTGGAGCTTCAGCACCACGGACATCGCCAGTGCCAGCTTTGTGGACAACACAACGGAGCGCTAGCACCATGGACAGTTACCAACACGGTGGAGCCGCGGTACCACGGACAGCTCCACTGAGCGCTCCACACTCTGGCTGCACCCGTCAGGCTGGAGCTGGCTCTGTCCTGCTGGCAGTGCGGCTCTAGGGGCCTCTGTGCAATCACCTCAACATACCCCGTCACACATACTAAACCTAAATCCTGTGCCCACACTATCCTGTGGTCTTCAGGGAACAAATATGCCTCACTCATTAGTCAAGCCAGAAATATTGTTCTTCTATTTTGGAGTTAATAGAGATGGTCTGTCAGCTGGCTTATCATTGCCAGCAAGTTCCTTTATAGAGATTCCAAGTTATCCCAGCTTAGCCTTGCTGTAGTAATGTGCACTAGACTGGAGCTCTTGTAAAACTAGATTGTAAACCACACTGGCTGTAATAAAATGGTTAATTGCTGTATGTGTCCCTATCAGTCCTTGTAAACCTCTAAATCTGTATGTAATTGCTCTATTCTGTAACCTATGTCAGTAACAATGTGAAAAGTGGACATGTTTCTCCAAAACCATCTCCCCTTTCACCACCTCTCTAGCTCTCTCCCTTCATGCCTTTCCTTGTTGCAGGTCTGATTTTAAAGGCAGTGGACAGTCAGTCAATTGCAGGCCAGGTTTGAAAGCACTGGCATGTTGCCTCCCGCATGGTGTTGTGTCAGTGACTGTGGCACTGACTGTACAGCAAGGCCAAAGCCCGCTTGGCACACAGGCAAATGCACAACACAAACCCACACACATACACATTAACTAAGACAAACACACACTTCCAATGCAAATCAAGCAATTAAGCACATATACACTGTTTCCCGCTCATTCTGTTTCTCTCACACACAAACAACCATTTGCTGCAGCTTGGATACAATACACGAGCTGTGCCCTACATATGTTATCCCCTTTCACTTTTACATAACATTTCTAAAACTCCAAACACAAGGCATGGAAACACTGAGTCGGATACTGCTCTTTTAGAGGATGTTACCCTGCCTTCAAAGGCTTCAGAGCTGTACAAAAAGATACTAGCTGCCTCACTTTTTTTTTTTGGTTGTGAACCATAATAAAATATCATCTTATTCTCTCTCAACATGAAACAACGTTGTAGCACTGGTTCTGTTGACACTCTGTGTTCACTGGTGCTTAGCACTGGGGTCTGGCCACCGTTGGGAGTTCAAATAGATTCGACAAATATCTGTGGAGTTTAAATGGTGTTTAAAAATGGAGATGAGAGTTTCAGATGAAACATCTGCAAGCTGCTGCAGAGTGCAACAGCTTTGAAACCAAAGATAATGCACTTCTTAGGTAGAAATATGATCCCCAATCTTAGCAGCAAGTCTCTGTAGCTAAGACTAGTAAAAGACTCAGCTGTGGAGAAAGCAGTGAACGATACCTGTAACTAATGCAGCACAGATGGAGCAAGCAACAAAGGCAGCTCTGCCATTTTGTTTACTTGATGCTTAATGGTGTTTTTGAAGAGATATGGTCTCCAAACGTAACACTCAAGCTTGACTTAAGTGTCACCTCCTTTTACAAAATGTGTAATTAAAGATAATCAACAGATGGTATTTCATAAAGCGCAGTAAGAAAAATACTGAAACACTTTCAACATTTCAGAAAGTTTTAGACAGTGACCCCTGGGCACTGGAATAATGTGTGGCATTACTGAGAAAGCATGAACACACAATAAAAATGGTACCTCCCGTAGTCTAGAAGTTAAAACAAAAGATAGAATTTACTCCTGGCTCAGGCAACCTGTTGAACTTGAAGTGATGAAATAAACAGGAGAAGGTGAAACAAAGAGTAAAAATCAATGGCTGCATCCGAAGCAACACACAAATAAAGCAAATGAAAAGACGCCTTTGCCATTAAGGCATTTTGTTCCAAGACTGTGGAATTAAGGCTGGCTACCTCTGACTCATTTTTCAAATATAGTTTCTTAAAACTCACTGCTGTGTAAGTGCTTTTATGCAATGCCCTTTAATTATTTGCTAAGGACTTCTCTTTTGTACTTTCTTTTTAATGTCCTTGCTTTACTTTTGTTTCCTGCCCATGACCGTATGTAGTGTGGTGTGCTTTTGTTTTTAGTCACTTAATTATAGTTTTTACACATGGCTTTTTGTACAAGTTAAACAAATAGGATATATAATGTTGATTATGGTTACCAAGTTTTGATTTTACCATGTATACATGACTTGACCTGACCTTTCCTCGAACACCACACTCAGTAAGGCTCTGAGAATAGCAAAATCATTAATGATAGTTCTGTCCAAAACTTTCATAGTGTCTGTAGCCTGTAGGGGACACCAGCAGGACTTTAAACTGTTGGTCTGGTTACTAAGAAACAAAGAAAGTCATGTTCTAGTTCAATCTCAACATCTGTGTCCAACAAACCACTAGAATCATTACTCAAGTATTCATTTGGTAAAGCAGAAAGACAAAAAAAAAACACAGCCCATGTCCATTTATTCATTAATGCTTGATTAAAGGTTAACACAAAAGGGTCAGACTTTTATTTTACCTAACCTGTGTTTGGAGGAACACGGGAGGACATGGTGAAGAGCATGTCTCACAGTCCTTTCAGATCAGCACAGGCGCTCCAGTGGAGCTGGCTGGATCACGTTCTTTCAGCATCCACTGAATTATTTCTTCCACAGCAACTTCTTATTTTTCCGGTTAAAGCCTCCCACCAGTGTTTCCTCTGTACTATCAAGATCTAAACCTTTCTGTTTCTGAGTCCTCCTCTCCATTGCAGCATCTACTCCCGGGAGAAAAGATGTCATGGCAGCAACAGCTTCCGCCAAAAATCTTCTTTGCTCCTCTGTTGTTTGACACCTGGCAGCTGGCAACAGCAGTGATGCTAGAAAATTCTCCATCCATGTAATAAAAAGTGTCATGAAACAAACATGGCATTATGAAAAGCAAGATTATGAAATAAAACTTTATAGGGAATAAATGTGCTATTGGGGAAAATGCCAGAATAAAATAAACAGGGCAGTTTGAAATAAAGATTTCTATCTTTAAAGGAAATAAAACTATGTTTATTTAAAAAAAATAATCTGATGGGGTTGACTTTTAATTCTTTCTCAGATCATTTCACACTTTCACAGCTCATTTACATATATACAATGGGGTCCAAAAGTCAGAGACCACTTTCTCGTTCACTTGACCACCATTCATATAATTACTTATTTCATAATGACTTAATTATATACTCAGTATTGAACCCTTTGGGGCTCCATATCTTAATGCTAGACCTCAATTCTCACCTCCATTTGCATACCATTTGCTGTTGATAAGCTGCAGCTCTGTAAGTAATTATTGGTATTAGTCAACGCCGTCTTTGATTGATTTTGCAAGGAGTAAGTGAAACCTTTGTAAGGCAAAGAGGAATAATAATAAGAACTTTTAACAGTTGTATAGTTGCCGACAGTTACATGATTTCCAAGATATTGGCATATTTGCTCATACAGCGTACCTCCTAATGAAAATAGTGTATGAACAGCAGGGTGGGACAGCACACAGGTTGTCCAGTATCTACAAGGTCACACCTTCAAACAAGGTGAATCCATGAGTTCATAATTAACAGGAGGGTTTCTCCACCGAGGCACCATTTTGTTTTGAGGCTGATGAAACTTGCATATTTTGACAGAAATCTAAAAAAAAAAGAAAGAAGAATCAAGAGGCAATTAGGAGCCAAGAAACTGCAGGTAAGTGCTGCCATCTTTTTCTTTTTGTACAATAAT